GTGATCGGCGCCACGTACACAAGCTGCGCCGCCGCCGCTAGAAAAAACAAATGAACGTTGCTAACAATGCTTGATGCGGTAGAGGCAGCGGCCCGCCCGCTCCTCAGTGATCGGCGCCACGTACACAAGCTGCGCCGCCGCCGCTAGAAAAAACAAATGAACGTTGCTAACAATGCTTGATGCGGTAGAGGCAGCGGCCCGCCACGTACACAAGCTGCGCCACCGCCGCTAGAAAAACAAACGAACGTTGCTAACAATGCTTGATGCGGTAGAGGCAGCGGCCCGCCACGTACACAAGCTGCGCCACCGCCGCTAGAAAAACAAACGAACGTCAGTGACAATGTACTCGTGCATGCGCTGATGGCCGCTGGCAGCGAGAAAACAAACAAACGTCAGCGACACTGTACTCGTGCATGCGCTGATGGCCGCTGGCAGCGAGAAAACAAACAAACGTCGCTAACAATGTACTCGCACGTGCGCTTGCGAGGCGTCGCGGCCGCTGCCGCTGCCGTGCGCAAGAAAAAAAACGAACGTCACTCATGTACATTTCGAACATATCTGCGGTGCGAGAAACGGCTGCGAGACCACGCGACCCCAATCAGCATCCCCGATGCCCGCGTTGCCGTGGTTACCTTCCTCTGCCGTGAGCTCCTTGCGGCAGACGGCCTTGCACATGGTCATGAAGGAGAGGAAGTAGTCGGTTATGCTGTGGTCGAACTTCTTGTCGAGCCGCGCGAGAGCCTTGAACTTTCTCCAGTCGTACTCCTTCCTCTTCTTGTTGTACTCGACGCCAAAGCTCGAGACGACGCGGTAGAAGTCGGCCTCCTCGCGCCGCGACCACCTGCCAAATCACGCGCTCGTTACAGGTGCGCTCGTTACAGGTGCGCTCGTTACAGGTGCGCTCGTTACAGGTGCGCTCGTTACAGGTGCGCTCGTTACAGGTGCGCTCGTTACAGGTGGTTGCAGGTGCGCTCGTTAAGGTACGCTCGTTACAGGTGCGCTCGTTACAGGTGCGTTCGTTACAGGTATGCTCGTTACAGGTATGCTCGTTAAGGTACGCTCGTTACAGGTGCGCTCGTTACAGGTATGCTTGTTACAGGTATGCTCGTTAAGGTACGCTCGTTACACGTATGCTCGTTACAGGTGGTTGCAGGTGTGCTCGTTAAGGTACGCTCGTTACAGGTACGCTCATTAGATGAAAGAAGCCAAGCTGAGGGAGGCAGGACTTACCTCTGCTGCTGGTATCGTTTCTGCTGCTCTCTAACCTTCATTGCCTCCTGTGCTCTGAGCCTCTTCTCACACCTCTGCAATTTACAACACAGTAGTAATGTAAGTGATTCACCTACCTATAACATGATAAACATTCACACACAAGCACACCCAAACACATACTGACACGACAGATACGCACACATGCACAGAAACACGCATGCACGCACGCACGCACGCACGCACGCACGCACACGCACACAGGCATGCACGCATGCACACCCCCCACACGCGCACGCACACGCACACGCACACACAATAAGGAGAGCATAGATAGACTGTCACCTTGGCCTCTGTGTCGCGCTGCAGCAGCTGCTTCTTGTAGTTGCGCTGGTAGCCCGTAATGAGCTTGCGCAGTCTATTGTTGAAATCGGACGCGCCAGGGAACGCTAGCTTGCCCTCTTCCTCTGCGAATAATGCAAGCATTGAAAATGAAGCACTACCACAGGGTGCGAAATTAACGCGAGTCCGGAGTCAAATACTCCCTGATTTACTGTCGGACTCCCTGTTTTGACATCTGCAGGAGTCCATGGGACTCCCTGAAAATTCTGCTATACTAACAAGTTCGTTCCAGAGCACGGCCTCACGGAATTACCGTATTTTTTCCAGCAAATGTCCAAAGAAAATTTGGCAGAGCATGCAACCGCATGAACCTTCACATACGTTCACATGCGTTATTGTTGTTGTGCTTTAGTTTTGAACTTCAGACTACGGACTCCCTCATTTTGCTACGGACTCCCTCTTTTTGAGGGCAAGGAGTCCGTTAGACTCCCTTGTTCAAAAGTTACTTTCTAACCCTGCTACCAGAGTTGTGTAGAGCCACGCGACGTGAACACTCGCATGGGAACCCAGCTTCACGCTAACGAAGAATAGCGTATTCATCACCTGGGACACCAGGCTAACTAAGAGTAACATAATAATCGTAGCATCGAAAAGTGCTGAAGCCCTCAGCTGCTGATCGATAATCGATAATCGATAATCGATCACTGGTGGATTAAAGCGAGAATTTCTTGAACGTGAGACAGTGAATGAGTGAGGGAGAAAATGAGTAAGACAGTGAATGAGTGAAAGTGAATGAATGAGACCAAATGAGTGAGAGCAAATGAGTGAGGACTATTTTTATTTGGACCGCTGCTGCCATCGTACAGTAGCCAGATGTTGAGACAACGTGTGTCTATGTTACAGTAGCAGAGTTAGACACGTTGGCTACCGTAGGCACGAGTGAGACACGTGTCTATGACGTAGCAGAATTGAGACACGTGTGTCTATGCTACAGTAGCAGAGTTGAGACACGCGTGTCTATGCTACAGTAGCAGAATTGAGACACGCGTGTCTATGCTACAGTAGCAGAATTGAGACACGCGTGTCTATGCTACAGTAGCAGAATTGAGACACGAGTGGGTGTCCATGCCTAGCAAGTGAACCGTTCAGAGTACAGAGTTGAGACACGCGTGTCCCATCGCTAGCAGTAGGCAGAGTTGAGACACGCGGTCATGCTACAGTCAGAGTTGAGACACGGCGCGTCTATGCTACAAGTAGGCAGATGTTGACAGCACACGCGCGTCTATGACCTACAGTAGCAGAGATTGGACCGGTAACGTAGCGGAGACACGCGTGTCTATGGCTACAGTTTTAGCAGAATTGAGACACGTGTGTCTATGCTACAGTAGCAGAATTGAGACACGTGTGTCTATGCTACAGTAGCAGAGTTGAGACACGCGTGTTGGTGTCTCAGCAGCAGAGTTGAGACGTGCTTGCTTGTTGTTACAGTGAGATTGAAGTGAACCCACCTGATACGGATGGAGACAAGCCGACCGCGTGGTGGAACGACAACGCAGACAAATGCCTTCTCATCGGCGTCTTCAAACACGGTGAGTCGACGCGGCGTGCAGCGATCGCGTCCCACCACAGCGCCACCTAGCGTGCAGCGCTCGTATCCCACCACAGCGCCACCTAGCGTGCAGCGATCGCGTCCCACCACAGCGCCACCTAGTGTGGCTGCACTTCCTACCTGCCGTATAGTACCCCTGAAAAATTTCCGATTTTTATGGCAATAAGTGTCATTGCTGGTTGCCCAGCCTGGTTGCCTTCTAGACCTGCCTTTCCTACGATGTTGTCCGTCGTGTGGATGTGTTCCTCTCTGTCATGAAAAAATTATCAAAGTAAGTAGGCTTAATGTCAATGTCGCTTCTCTGAAGAAAACGTGAAAACTATGGTGCCTCTCATAGTTGCAGTAGTGCACTAGCATTTCGATTAAACCAAAGAAAACGCTCACCTTGGACCGCCATTCAAAATTCTAGTTATGTGACCACTGACAAGAACATGTGTTGGCGATGGCTTACGCCAACGTATTAGCCAGCGAGCCATGCAGCCGCGATTTGCACCGGTCAGGTTTTGAAAACTGCACGGCCAAAAAATTTAAAATCTTCAAACAAAAAGAAATTCTTAAATCTGTTAACATCTTTCAAAAAATCTTCCCTTTTCAAGTACAAAAAATCCAGTACCCCCCAATGAGAGGACCCCCTCTCATACTCACCCCTCTCCCCGTGAACGCCTACGGCGGTCTAGGCTGAGACACACACAAAAATTGCACTCCCCACATATACTGGCTAACTTCACACAACATTCCTGGCTAATACCCTGGTTGACGCGGATGTTTGTACCGCGAATTGTGAGCGTAAACACGTGAAATACCGTTGACAGGTTACGAAAAGTTTAACCTGATGAGAGCCGATCCCTCGCTGTGTTTCTTACTTCGCTGCGGGCCACCAGATGGCGCGGCTCTCCTCAAAGAGCAAGATGGCGACGACCTGTGAGTATCGATTGTATATATTGTCGTCGTCGTCGGCATTATTATGATTATTATTTCGCCCTCCATCACTTCCATTTATTTAGTTTCATTTGTTTTAGTTTTATCAGCATTGTCTCTTAACTTGTTTAACTAATATGTCTCACCTCCAAAGTGTAATTCATAAGTGTAAATAAAGTAAATTGAATTGAATTATTATTATTATTGTTATTATTATTGTTAATATTTTACCTCTATGTACAGTCATATCTCTAATTAGAGATGGAAACCTCTACTGATTGGACACCTGTCTATAAAGGACACCTGTCTATAAAGGACACCTGTCTATAAAGGACACCTGTCTGATAAACGACACCTCTTAAGCTTCCCTATAAAGGACACCTGTCATAAAGCGACACCTTGTTAGTATAAAGGACACCTGTCTATAAAGGACACCTGTCTATAAAGGCACACCTGTCTATAAAGGACACTGTCTATAAACGACACCATGTCTATAAAGGACACCTGTCTAGAAAGGACACCTGTCTATAAAGGACACCTTATACCTGTCTATAAAGGACACCTGGCGTGTCCGTCTAGTAGTAGTTATGTACAGGCTTACTGATCATTAAATATCGGTTGTCGTTTTCACGTTTGCCTGGGTGTTGCAGACAGTCGTCTACACACATACTCTCCAGGGGAAAAATTCGTCACTTTTTTTTCCACGGGAGCTCTTTTTCAAAAGTCCGTGGACAAAATTGCTCTCGTTAAAAATGTTACGGGAGCTATTTTAAGCCTCACGGGAGCGATTTCGGAGGTTTAAAGAGCGAATCGCTCATCGCTCCCGTGTATTTTTTACCCTGACACTCTCACTGCTTCAGAGCAAACTTTGAGGACACGATGGACCAGGAGAAGGACGAGGACGAGGACGATGACGGCTCCAAGTCAGAATTCTCCAAGTGCACTCCTGCCGCTGCTGCTGCTTCTGCTGTTCCTGGTGAGTACTCGTTGCCTTAGTCGCTCCCTCGCTCACACGCCTACACACTCTCCTAACTCATTATGAGAGCTCTTGCGAACGAACTTGTTAGTATAGGCAATTATCAGGAGTCCACGGACTCCTGCAGAATGTTAAATCAGGGAGTCGACTTGAAATCAGGGAGTATTGACTAGCGCGTGCACGCTCGCGTAATTTCGGGCACACCTGTGGTATGTTCTTTCTCATAGCTTGCATTATTCGCAGAGGAAGAGGGCAAGCGTAGCGTTCCCTGGTGCGCGATTTCAACAATAGACTTGCGCAAGCCTCATTAGCGGCGTACCAGCGGCAACGTACATAAGAAGGCAGCTGCTGCAGCGCGACACGAGCGTCAGGTGACAGCTTATCTATGCCTCCTTATGTGTGTGTGGTGTGCGTGTGGTGTGCGTGTGCGTTGTGCGGTGCGGTGCGTGTGCGTTGTGCGTGTGCGTGAGTGGTGTGTGCTGGCAGTGCGCGAGCGTGGCTGTGCGTGGTGTGCGTGTGCGGTCGCTGGTGGTGTGCGTGTGCAGTCGTGCTGCATGCGGTGTGTTCGTTGCTGGTACTGCGTGCGTTGTGTGGGTGCTGCTGGTAGTGTGAAATTTGTTATGTGTGGTGAGCCTCGTGTATATTGGGTGTGGGTGCTATAGTATAGGTTAGTTAGTTATACTCGTATCATCGTTGTAACAGTGGCTCGAACACAGCGGCTTTGGTCATAAATCCATAAATCGATTTCATCAACAACAAAAGAAAGAAATTGAATAATGGAAAGTAATGAGAATCAGGATATCATCGCTACTATACAAGTTATCCTTATTAACATACATAATGTATTTTACAACAGTAGTAAACAGTGCAAAACAAAAGTACAACAGGGATAACAAGCAACATACATGAACACACGTACATGCCACACGACGTTACGCACACGCAGCATGTCACACCCGGCAGTAACCGATTGTTAACGATCATCGGTTTACTTGGGTCCACGATGATCGATACGAAATTAAAGGATTGACAACACTATGTAGGTGAATCACTTATCATTACTACTGTGTTGTAAATTGCAGAGGTGTGAGAAGAGGCTCAGAGCTCAGGGGCCAATGAGGTTGAGGCAGCAGAAACGATACCAGCACAGAGGTAAGTTCCTGCCTCCCTCAGCTTGGCTTCTTTATCTAATGAGCTTTACTGTAACGAGTATACCTGTACGAGCATGCGTGTAACGAGCGTACCTTAAGAGCATACGTAACGAGCGCACCTGTAACGAGCGACCTGTACGGCATACGTGTAACGAGCGTACCTTACGAGCACACCTGCAACCACCTGTAATGAGCGCACTGTAACGAGCAACATGTACGGAGCGTTACCTTAACGAGCGCACCTGCTGAACACAGCTGCAACGAGCGTACCGTGTAACGAGCGCGTGCATTGACAGGGGGGGTGGCGCGGCGCGAGAGGTGATCTTCCTCCGCGTGGCGTTCGAGCTTTTGGCGTCGGTACAAAAGAAGAGAAGGAGGTCGACTGGAGGAAGGTTTCAAGGCTCTGCGCGGCGTCGACAAGAAGTTCGACCACAGCATAACCGATCACTTCCTCCCTCATGGACCAGTGTGCAAGGCCGTCTGCCGCAAGAGCTCACGCAGAGGAAGGTTAACACGGCAACGGGGCATCGCGGATGTGTGATTGGGGTCGCGGTGCGTCTCGCACCGTTTCTCGCACCGCAGATATGTTCGAAATGTACATGATGACGTTCGTTTGTTTTCTTGCGCACGGCAAAGCGGCAGCGGCAGCGAACACGCAAGCGCACGGTGCGAGTACATTGCTTAGCGACGTTCGTTTGTTTTCTCGCTGCAGCGGCTCCATCGGGGCAGGCACCGGAGTACATTGTCACTGGACGTTCTTTTTTGCTCGTGCGCGAGGCGGCCGATCAGCGCATGCACGAGTACATTGTCACTGGACGTTCGTTTGTTTTGTCTAGCGGGGGCGGCCCGCCGCAGCTTGTGTACCGTGCGCGGCGCTGCGCCTACCGATCAAGCAGTTAGCAACGTCGTTTGTTCTTTATAGCGACGTTTGTTTGTTTTTCTTAGCGCGGTCGCGCAGTTGTGTACGTGCGCCGATCACTGAGGAGCGGGCGGGCCGCTGTCTCTACCTCATCAAGCATTGTTAGCAACGTTTCGTTTGTTTTTCTGCGCGGCGGCCCACAGCTTGTCGTACGTGCGCCGATCACTTGAGGAGGGCGCGGAGACCGCGTGCTCTACCGCCTCAAGCTGCTCAACAAGGTTCGCTGCCCGACATTCTGCTCACGCCGAAGCTAGGACGACAACTGAGCTGTGTCACCCCAGCCTGGGCTGCGGGACTGGTGGACGTGCGGACGCCACGACAAGGACCTGTGGTGGAGCGGCGAGGTGAGAGAGCGAGGAGGGAGGGAGGAGGAGCTGTGTGGGGGGGGGAGAAGGGGCGGGGAGAGGGGAGCTAGAGCTGATGGACGTGTGGACGCCATGACAAGGACCTCTGGTGGGAGCGGCGAAGTGTTGATTGGCAGCGAGGAGGGAGGGGAGGAGGAGCTGCTGTGGGGAGGGGGAGAAGGGGAGGGGAGGCGAGGAGCCCTAAGCTGGTGGACGTGTGGACGCCCGTTGACAGGACCTGCTGTGGAGCTGAGGTGAGAGAGCGAGGAGGGGAGGAGGAGGAGGAGCCTGTGGTGGGGGAGGGGGGAAGGGGGGGAGGGGAGGCGCCTAGAGCTGGTTGGAACGTGTGGGCGCGTTGTCGAGAGACGGTGGGGTGGGAGCGGCGAGGTGGCGAGGAGGGGAGGGGGAGGAGGAGTGGGGGGAGGAAGGGGAGGCGTGGAGGAGGGAGCCAGAGCGGTGGACGTGTGGGACGCCATGACAAGGACCTGCTGGTCGGGAGCCGGCGCAGGTGAGAGAGCGAGGAGGTGAGAGGGAGGAGGAGCTGTTGTGGGAGGGGGAGAAGGGGAGGGGAGGAGGGAGCCTAGAGCTGGTGGACGTGTGGACGCCATGACAGCGACC